CCACCCCAGTGCTCCCACGGTGCCCAGACCCGTGACCCGGCTGGGCTGGCCTGGATCTCAGAGGCCCCGCCCTCAGGGAGGCCCTGGCTTCTACTGGGAGTCCCTGCACAGATTTCCTCCTTCTTGCTATTGTCTTCGCGCCCCACCCCCCAGCACCACAGCCAGGAAGGACCCCCACCCGGCACCCAAAAGCCAGGCCCGCACGCCCTCTAGAGGTGGTCGGCTGCACAACATGCACTCACACACGAATGTGCACACGTACACAGCCATATACCCACGTGCATACACATGGATACACGTGTACGTGTGTGCTTACTTGCATTCACACAGGTACACACACACCTATACACGTGTGTGCGTGCACAATGACACATACATGCAGGTACAGAAACACGGGCACACGGACATCACACACATACGCACACATGCGCACATACACGCGTGTGTCCCTGTGTCTCTGAGATGGTTTCTCTTCAGTGTCTTCTGAGAGCAGCAGCCCCCCGTGGTCCCATGAGGAGGCTGTGACTCGATGACCAAGGAGAGAAAGATCGGAGGAGTGACTTGGTGCTGCAGGAGTGACCTCGTGCTGCGGTCCCGCACAGGATACTTCCCTCCCTCTTCTCTGGTCAAGTCCCTCCCTTAGCTGTTGTCTGCGTCCTCTTGTGTTTCCCGCTTCGGCCCTGCAGCGGCGGCTGGTCCCTGGAGGCGAGGTCTGGGGTGAGGTTTGACGGCTCCAATCGCATCTGCCCGGCCCTCTGGCCCTGGGTATCCCTCCTTCCTGCCGGTGGTCAGACGGGCAGAGACCCAGCGGTGAGGCCACGGGGTCTTGGGCAAAGGCTCCGAGCAGGATCTCCCCGTCTGCTTCGAGCACAGCCCGCGTGGGGCTGAGGGCACTTAGGGTGCCTCATCCCCCAGCGGCCTGGTGGGAATGGTGAACTGAGGCCATTACGCGGTTGCGGGGGAGATGACATGCTGGGCACTGCATCATCAGACAACAGAAACACATCCTCTCCCAGCTCTGGAGGCGAGAGGTCCAAACCAGTGTGGGCAGTGCTGGCTCCTCCGGGGGTCGTGGAGTAAGCACCTCCTGTGCCTCTTCCTGCTTCGGTGTCCAGCGGGGAGGGCGGCTGTGGGGCAGGGTGTGTGTTCTATACACCGGGGCGGGGAAGGCCTTGCTGACGGAGTAAGCAGAGCGTCGGGGCAGGCAAAACAGCCCTGCGTCAGCCCTGGGGTGAGGCCCGGCCTTCGAGGAGCAGCAAGGGGTCCTGTGTCCGCAGCAAAGCGGGCGAGAGTGGGGCCAGCGGGGCCGCCACCTGCTCCTGGGACTGGGGGCCTGCGGGCCTCCGCTTCTGCCACAGCGCGCAGACAGTTTTCACAGAGGGGCGGGTGGCCAGCTCAGCTACCACCTGCGAGCCCAGGAGGGTGGGCGGGGGGTGCAGAGCCTGCACCCAGTGCCTCTCGGTCCCGGTCTCTCCTGGCTCCGCCGGCCTGGGTCCCCAGATGGGCCTCGTGGGCTGGACCTAGACAGTCACAGATGGACCTTCAAAAATACAGTTATGTTTAGGACTAATTCCTATTTATGGCAGGTGATGCTGATTTGCCATTTATAGCAGAGGCATAAACTGCTTTTAAATTTGTTTATTAAAGTGCAGGAAAGTCTTTGCTGTAAGGTATAGCCTGAAGACAGGACTGGATGGGCAGGGAGTTTGGCCCCAGAGAGTGAGGGAACCTCCACCGTGACGCCCTGACCGAGGCCACGGGAGTCGGGCCTGGAGTCTGTCCTCAGCCACGGGGCCTCTGGTCCTCCCACTGCTCTTCCTGTGATAATGTCCCTCACAAAACAAATGACAGTAAGAGGTAGTGGCAAAGGGCAGAAAGCAGCCCCAACAGGGCCAAACAGAAAAAGGGGAATTACTGGCTTGTGTAACTGAACACAAAGGGCTGCTTCAGGCCTAGCTGGATCCAGGTGCTCGATGGGGCTCCAGGACTCACCTCCCTGGTCCTCATCTCAGCTGTTTCCCTTGTTGGTAGTGTTTTCGGGAGGCCCTTCCCACGCTGCACCCAGGATGTCCTTGCCCCGACGGCCTCCCAGACTGTGCCCCCCAGTTCAGCAGCCACGAAGGGAGAGAGCCCTGCCTCCCAGCAGGTCCAACCATCAGCGCAGCTTGAGGCCCTTGGCCATCCCAGTACCAATGACAGGACCTGGGAAACAGGTGTTGCTGACTGACCAGGCCTGGGCCACACGAGCCTCTGCAGGTGGACAGTGGGTTCCACCCCACCCCAGCCCCATGGCCGGAGGGAGGCCAAGGGATGCAGAAGACTGGGGATGGACGTTCCAATCAAGGGCCACTCACTGAACCAGCCCAGTGCCAGCAGCAGCCCAGGCAGCCTCTGGTCTCACAGAAGGCCCGGCCTGTGGGGACGGGAACTTCGGGTCCCCAGCGCTCGCGGCCCCGCCCCCGGCACGCAGCTCCGCAGGCCGGGGCGCATCAGCCTGGAGATGTCTCAGCCAACTCCCTAATGCTGCCCACAGGGAGAGGGGGGCGGGCCTTGCCTGAGGCCACAGCCGGACAGCGGCAGTGCTGGCCTGGCCTCGGGTGCTCACCACCCAGGGCCCTTCCCTGCACCCAGGCGCCAGGGGGAGGGAGGGGCGCGGCTCCTCCACAACCCCGTCCCAGAGGCCTCGGACCGTCTGCCGGGTGTGGACTGGCAGGCGAATCCTGACCGTGCAGGCGTCGGGGCCGCCAGTTAAGGATGGCACTGGCGTGCTCTTGGTTGCCGTCCATCCCAGGTTCAGAAAGGCACGCACTAGCGTCTCGGCCGGTGTCGCCGCCTGGGCAGCACGGAGCCGCCTGCGTCTCACCCGTCACAAAGGCCTGAAGGCAGCGAGCCGCGTCAGGAATCCCAGCGGCCACTCCCCGGGCCCCGGTTTGCTGTGTGCATGGGGAGCACGTGCGACTCGTGGCCCCATCTGCAGGGCGGGGCAGGGGCAGGGCCAGGTGCCCGCGACCTCACAGCAGCCACACTGGCCACCGAAGCAGCGAGCACGAAGGTGCCCCCCAGCCCAGGACAGTCGCCGGGCTTCTCCCCTCAGCCGCCCCAACAGCGCCAGCCGCTCAGTCTCCTCCGCGCCCCGCCCGTGCTCCCAGCTTCTCCCTGGTGAGCCCCACGCTCTTCGTTCAAGAACCAGCTCTGATGGCGCCGCCAGGGGAAACCCCTCCCCTCTCCCCGAGTTCCTGTATCGCGTGAACAGGTGCGAGGACCGCAGCCACCTCACTGGGTGGTTGTGATCCACCTGATAAAGGCGGGTCTCCATAAATGAAGGACGGATGGTAGATGGATGGGTGGGTGGGCGGGTGGGTGGATGAGGGAGAGAGGAAGGGGGGAGGCAAGGGTTAATCTTTTGTGAGAAAGCTTTCATAATAGACGTAGCACCCAAGCAACTGTAAGCTGTTTCTACGGTTTTTCATGTCTCCTGGGAGCACTGTCCACCCACACTCACATATGTCAGCTGCTCCAGGCGGCGTCACCCACCCGATTCACTCAGCCAGCGCCAACTGTGTGCCTGCCACGCACTGGTACCAGTTCCAGGCAGGGGTTCCAGGAACCCAGCATGAGCAAGAGGCCGACCTCAGGATGCTCTGCATCTCCCAGGAGAGTCAGGTCAATGTTTGTTGAGTGACTGTCGGAGGGGTAAATCCCAGGACTGGGGGGCTGGGAGGAGCGGATCCATTCTGCCTTGGCGGTGGGGAGGCTCCCCCGGAGACACCACCACAGCTGATTCGTGGCCGTGGGAACAGTGGAATGGGGGCCAGGATGGGATGGGGCAGCCCCCAGCGTGGGCTGTGTTGGGCAGGGGAGGGGAGACGTGCTTTCCTGTCCACCGTTTCCGGGACGTGGTGCTGCCCCGGCCCACGGACTGCCACTTGGGGCCGGGCCGGCTGGATGGCTGCTCCAGCCTGGGCTGGGCACATTCGTGCATCTGACATCAGCTCCCAGGCCGGCTTGGGGGCGCTGGGGGGCAGAGATGGAGAGTGAAGGCAGGCGGAGGGAGGGACAGAGGGGTGAGTGGAGGGAGGAGAGAGGGACAGTCCTTCTGCAGTGAGAAGTCCCTTGGAGCCTGTTCCACTGAAGCACAGGGCTGGGAAGTTGGACTTTTCCCTGAAGCTCCCAGAGGAGCAGCACTTGGGATAATTCATCCCCTGGAGGCATTTCAGAAGGTCCCTTTCTGCCCTGGACTCCAGAATCCTCCCTCCCTAACGGTGCCGGGTTGGGGGGGGTGGCTGTGGTCCCAGGAGAGAGGTGCCCACCAGGCCTGTCCTACCTGTCACAGCGCAGCTCCTGGGGCCCTGGCTCAGAGCAGCTGTGCGGAAAGGCCGCCTCTGCTGGCTCGGGGCTCCCGCACCCGAGGACTCCGGGCAAGGCTTGGATGGAGGAGGGCGGGGAGGCTCCTTTGGTGCCTTCCTCTCCCACCCAGGTTCACTTGCGTCTTAAAGCTCACACCTGCGTCTGGACAGCCGCCGCTCCTCCCAGGCTGCGGTCGGACACGAAGGTGCTTGCATCTGTGCACTGCAAAGAGGGAGGAGAGGCTCGTCTTTCCTTTTCCTGCTTGAATTTCTGGCCTGCAGCTGAACTTGACCCGGAGCATGCTAAAGAAAGGAAGTTTTCCAGATACACGTGTGTGGGGTTGTCTCTCTGGCAAACTGTCCATCCCTGGTTTTGCAACCCCATGGCGGTGCTGTGTGGTCCCGCATCCCCCCTCCTTCCTGCCTTGATCTACACCGTTGGAAGCCGGGCCGCCGAGATGAGGCAGCAGACCCTGTCACCCACTGCCGGGTCATCCCCCGAGAGCCCTGCAGCCAGCAGCCCCCACACCAGGAAGGGGACCCAGCTGCAGCTGACTCCATCCTGGGGACTATGTGTCTCTGAAGAAACTATAAACAGCCTGTAAACTAAAACCCACACTGATGCACTGTTCTTTCCCCTTTGTCCCCTTCTAGAAAGTTCAGCAGTACACGGTCATTGTTCAGGCCACAGACATGGAAGGAAACCTTAACTACGGCCTCTCCAACACAGCCACCGCCATTATCACCGTAACAGACGTGAACGACAACCCGCCGGAGTTCATGGCGAGCACGGTCAGTGTCCCCACAGCGTCTGTGGCCGCACGGTAGTTCAGTGGTGTTCGGGCGGCTTCTCTCCACGCTGCTGTCTGAGGGAGGGAGCTTGACAGATGGCAGTAACGAAGGCCCTGGGCAGGAGTGGAGGTCCAGGTGTCAGAGGCTCTGCTGGGAGCTGGCCCACGCGGGGCGGGGGCGCCAAACCGGCACGGCGACTCCCCGATCCTGAACCTGGCTAATGACTTGAGAGGCTCCCAGGACACAGCGTGCTGGACACTCCTGCTGAATCCGGAGGAGCAGACCCCTGGGGTTCAGGCTCCTGGAGAGGCTGCAGACTCGGACACTTTGGGGTGTGCGTGTGGCCGTGTGCGTGGTGGGACCTGCTGGGGACACCCGGGTGGAGCTGGGGACAGGGCAGGTCCCTGCAGCAGGAACTTAGCCTTAGCTGGCCCTCCAGGGCCCACCGCCAGCAGGAGGGAAATGCGGCAAGGGGGTCGCTGCTCACACCCGCTGTGCCCGCTGCTGGTGGGCCCCAAGCTCTGCGCTGGGGACCCGGCCCTGATCCCGCTGCCAGGGGAAGCCCCTCCCCGTCCCCCACCCTGAGCTCCCTTATCTCCTGAGCAGCTGTGAGGACCTCAGCCACCTCTTTCGGGGTCACCCCCTGGGGTGGGGTTGGGGGCTGACAGTGCGGATGCATGCCCACCCCGCGGGTGCCCGTCCAGAAACACGGCAGGTGCGGGGGCAGGGGAGAGGGTCAGTGAGGGCTCCCGGGGTGGTGCTGGGAGGTTGAGGCCGCAGGCATCCAGGATCTCAGGGTCACCATCTCCGAGCGACACCCGCTCCGCCCCGGGGGCCAGGCCGCTGAGTGCCCACTGGATGAGGGAGTGACAGCAGGAACAGAAACAGTAAGAACTAGAGCTCAAGCCAAGCTGTGCAGCTCCCCCCGCCCCAGCACGGGCCAGGGCCTCCCGGTCAGCCTCTGGGAGGGTCAGGCCCAGGCATGGAGGAGGCTGCCAAGGCTCAGAGAGGCTAAGTCCCTGGCCAAAGCCACACAGCCCATGAGTGGAAGCAGCTGGGACTGGACCCCAGAAGCTGCACTCTCACGCCGCAGTGGGGGGGGGCCAGGGGAAGGGAGGTGGGTGGACAGAGAGGAGACCCCTGCTGCTCCTGGTGGGTGGGTCGGCCTGCAGCGAAGGCCCCTCACAGGTCAGAGCCCCTGGCAATGAGCCCCGCACAGCGTCCAAGCATCCCCCCACATCTCTGCAACCCTGCTTCCTGGCCCCACCCCCCCTGAGTCCCACGTCCCCGCCTGCCCCCTCTCCGCATCCCGCATCCCAGAGCCCCATCTCTGGGTCCTGCTGGACCAGGCCGGGGAGGGCTGTCCCTGGAGGTGGCACAGCGGCCTCGACCGTGGGGACACAGCGCCATCTGGTGGATGGATGGCAGATCGCAGCTCAGGCCCCTGCCCACTGGTGAGGGGGGATGGCTTCCGTTCTGTTTGCTCCAGGGGGCAGGGGGCAGTGGGCAGTGGGCAGTGGCAGGGAAGGCTTAGGGCCAGCGTCCCAGTGAGTCTGGAAATGAGGGAAGCAGTGAACAGTGAGGTCTGAGGTCCTTACAGCATGCGGCACAAATTTCGAGTGAAAATTCCCTCTGGCCAGCGGCCACCCCACGCCCGTCCCCCAGGGCAGCCCCTCCTCCGACGCCCATTCTCGGACGTCACGTGAATGAAGTCGCACAGGACACGTGTTCTCCAGAGTCTCCCATCCGGGTGTAACGCCCCGGGAGGCACCTTGTTGCCTCAGCTCAGCCGACAGGCCCCTCCCGTCTGGGTCCTTTCATTCTCAGCTTGGACCCTTTGGAACGTTCATGAACAAATTTTCATTGCATCACCTGCTCTATTTAATTGTTGTCTCTTTCTAAGAATTAATCTGAGGTTTTGACTAGGTAATTCACACACACAGTACAGGAACTTAAAGGTGTAAGACATCGTAGTCTGAGACGGCGCCCCGGCCTCTACCTTGTGTTTTCGCCCCACCCCTTGCGTTGTTTTTGTCTTTTCTGCTCCTGGTATGTCTTGGAGACCTTTCTGTATGTGCAGATTCTCAACAGACTTGGAATTTTATTTCAATGTGTGTTTAGAAGTAACTTCAAGCTCATGGAAAAGTTGCAGGAACAGGAGAGTGGCCAGCGCGCGGACCCCTGGGCACCGTCAGCTGCGCACCCACTGCTCCCGGCAGACGCGCCCGCGGGCTCCTCTCCGAGCTGCTCGGGGGCCAGTTGGTGCCCTACAGCCCTCCGTCCAAGTGCTTCTGAGTGTATTTCCTAAGGGGGCTTTTCTGACTGGCCCTGGCAGTTGTCAGGAAAAAGGCTGCTACCCCTGCGTACCAGAGACAGCTGAGGCCCAGAGGGTCCATCCGGGCTGTCAAGGTCACGCAGTGAGATGGAGCTGAACCCTCATCTGCACCCTCAGGCCCCAGCTTTGCACCACACCCCTGTCCTCTGAGACCCTAGATGTGTCTTCTGAGACGGGGCATCCTTGCCTTCCCAGCCCCCATGTCCTCTGCACCTGCCAGCACCTCCTTCCCCCACCCCCTGCAGCTCCAGGAAGGGGCCCCGAGGCTGCCCCGACACCGAGCTCCTGCGGGCAGGCCCACGTTCCCCAGCGCTGGCCTGGCTTTGACGGCTTGGCTTCAGGTGCCTCTTCCTGCTTGTCTGAGCTTCGCCGCCCTTCTGCACCTCAGCCACGCTCAGCCCCGCCGCCCACCGCTGACCCCCCAGAGGGGCCGGGTCCTGCAGGCCGTGAGGAAGGGGGGGCTAACCTTCCGGTGGCGTGAAGCTCTCGGCTCTCGTGTCTGCCCCTCTGCACTGCGGCGTCTGCACGAGGGGAAGGAAGATACTCAGCAAGGAGTCCCTTGGCCCTCACACTTCTCTGGAAACCACAGCCCAGGAAGTACACCGAGGCTGGGGGCGAAATTTGCATTTGGCCCACGGAAGTGCCGGAGCACACCCCGGGGAAGGTAGGGCGGCACAGCCCGCGCCCCTGGCCGTCCTGCCGCCCCCCCCCCCGGGCTGTTCAGAAGGGCGCTTCTCCAGGCCTCCCGAAGGGCTCAGCGTCTTCCCGGAGACGCCGCCCCACCTCCGCCCCACATCCCCGGCCGGAGGACCACACGGGGCCCTGACTGAGGTGCGGCCTCAGCATAGTCAGACCTGGGGGGCAGCGGCGTGCGCTCGTGGGGACAGGACTGCTAATGTCCCAGGACCACACGCTGTGAGGTGTCCCCGCGGGACGGGTGGAGGCCGAGCGTCCCCTGACCTACAGGAAGCTTGTTCTCCGCCCCAAACCTGCGGCGGGTGGCACCCGGCCCCCATCACAGGGCGCTGGGCAGATAGTCCCAGCGCTGCTCCAGCGGTGAGGGCCTCACAGCAGAGGTGCCGAAGCACTCGTGCCTTCTCCTCATCTGTTACAAAAGGGTGGGGTGGTCCTTACGGAACATCGTGCTGCAGTTTAAGGCTACAGTCTACCCCCAGGTAAGCACAAATGAAAGGAAACTAAGTGTTAGAGAAAAGCAGGGCTGAGCTCATGGCTCCCCTCCAGGTCCGCTGAAGAGGGGCGAGAGGGTGACAGGCACCCCACCCTGCGCCTGCTCAGCCAGGGTCCACGTGGGTCACTCCCGCAAGGGGTGAAACACGGCTCAGGCCAGGGGCAGTGATTCGGGGCACCGCGGGTCGCGGCCCCCACATTTTGAGGTTCTTCTTGGGACGGTGTACGCGGTGCCATCCTCGGAGCGGCCGGGCGGAGGGCCAGCCTCAGCTCTGGGGCTTAGACGCACCGTGGCCGCCCCGGTACCCCCCGGGGGACTGGCCGCCGGGCCCCTCCAGCCCAACAGTGGCCCCATCTGGCCGGAGCCCTGGGAGTCCCCGATCTCAGCTTTTCAACTACTTCCATAAACTGGTGAGAAGGGGGAAGCTGCGGCCCAGCATGAGCTCCGGAGGGTGAGGACATGGTGTCTCAGAACTGGAACGGCCTCAGTGCCCTTCGTGGTGCGTGGACACTGGGTGCAGACCTCTGCCGTGAACAGCTCGCTGGAGCCGCTGCTCCAAGAACCGGTGCCCCCGCCCCCACCTGACATCACCGCCCACCATGCCGCCGGGCTGGGCCACTTCCCGGGAGGCCCTTGCAGCGATCTTCACGTGGGGGTGGTGACGGTTTCCTCGGGCCCCACGCAGACGGCGGAGCCGGGGGCGGGGTGCTAGGGCCAGACTCCCTGGCTCCCACACTGACCTTCCGCAGGCTCCAGAGCTCTCTGTGCCTTGGGTCCTTCGTCTGTAAGGTGAGGGACACCGGTTCCTGCCTGATGGGGCGCATCCCTGGAGGCCAGTCACCCAGCGGGCACCCGCATTCAGGGAGACTCGCTCAGTAAGACAGGTGACGGGGCTGTTGTCCCTCTGCTCTGTTATTCGTAACAATTCCACCCCGGGCAGAAACCAGCCGTCTGTGCAAGCTGCTTGGAACATGGGCAGGTCCTCAGTGAGGCCAGGAGCCCTCCCTTTCTGGAAAGGGAGCCATCAAGCCCGCTGAGCACCAAACGGGGAGGGGGAACTTCAAGTTATTCTTCAGCTAACGGCTGGGTCCCTTCCCGGACCTGGCGCCACTCCCCTGCTCGCACGGCCGCGGGGGCTCCGGGGGCTGCTGGCCACATCTCCTCCCTATGGGGGGAGGAACAAAGCCAGCCCCCAGGTCCCTCTGGTCACGAGCCTCCAGTCCCACCGATCAGCTCTGATTCCACACTCAGAAACCAACAGAAACCGTCATTGTTTCACTGGGTAGAAAACTGACTTTCAGAAATTAAAATCATCAGAATGTCGCGCTGTCCCCACCTCACAGTCCTGCTCCCGACGCCTCTGTCCCCCTCAGGCTGATGTCCCTGCGGTCAGGACCCTCCTCTCTCCAGAGCCCCAGCTGCGTGGCCCCCGGGGCCCACGTGGGGCAGAAAAGTTAAAAGAGGAGCGAGAGAAGGGGCTCAGAGGCCCCAGGGGCGGGGGAACAAGAGGAGAAGAGCCGTGGAAACTGCAAACAACAAACTGAAAACAAAAGAAACAAAAATGAAAGCTGTGGGAATGTCGGAGCAGCACCACCACTGCAGGTTTTCCCGCAGAAGCCGGGGCCACGGGTCTCGCGTGTGCACAGACTCATTCCGGGGCCCTCGGCCCAGCGGAGGGGCCTTGCTGTCCTCACCCACAGCCGCCTCTGTGCTACCGTGACCTTCCCCTGGGAGCCGCGTGCGTGTCTGCCGCCCAGCTGGGGTTGTGCTTGGACGGCCCTGGCGTGGACAGGAAATCTGCCCTCAGGGTGGGGGCCCTCGGGACGGGGGCACGCGGGGATCGCTGGAGGGGCGAGAAACTCCGTCCCAACGCTCTTAAGATCCATCCTTCCCCAAATACCCGCCTTTGCGTCCCATGGGGCAGGAGAGAGGCTTCCCCTGTGCCTGAAAACCCCCCAAAATTAAATTTAAAACTCATTATGGCTAGGGGAAGGTTAGTAAGAAAATCCTAGACCAGACTTACCAGCTTAACCTCCTTTGTGAACCTTTATTACATGTGCATGAATTAAAATGGACTTTTCAAATAAACTTCACCTAGAAGTTGGAAGGAATCGGACTCAGGGACACACTACTCTCCCCACGCCGTCAAAGCACCGGCCTGTGGTCCTCGGGGGACCGGCGTGAGGGCCCTCGCCGGGCGTGCCGCCCCCCAGAAGGTGCACCCGAAACTCAGCTGTAAGGGACGGGGGGTCCCAGGTGAGCAGCAGAATCCACCCCAGCTGTTTAAGCAGAGACGGAAGCTGCCAAATCCGAGGGTTGGGTGCTCCTGGCAGAGCCCCCACCCACTGCCACCGCCAGGTGCGGACACCACAGATCCCCCCCAGCACCGGACAAGGTGCGACCACCTGCCTTCCGCCACTGCAGGTGCCACAAGGCCTCTCGCCTCTCTCCTGAGTCAGTCGTGCAGGCGTGTCTCACCGCCAGATTCTAGACCACCCGACCAGGTCGTGACTGAGGAGCAGGATGAGAAACCAAGTTCCCAGAAAATAAAGAACCGAATTCAGAAGGTGCTGGAGACGGCAGCGTAACTGACATCCACTACACTGGCCTGCAACGTAGAGAGAATCCCCGCACCTCACAGATGCTGAAAACGCCTAGGATCTGGCTTCAGGCCTGGCTGGATCCAGCCATCGGGCTGAGTAGCCCTGCTGTCCCTCTGGCGGGCACCCTGAGGCTGTGACATGGAGCCTCACCGTCCAGCAAGGACATCAGCTCCCAAGGGCAGAGCGCCGTCTGCCTGCCCCCTGCTGAGTCTCCAGGGCCTGGCTGGGAGGGCTCGACAGGTGTCTGACCGAGGGAAGAGCCGGCTGCCACCCCCCTGGGCATGGACGCCTCCCCTCCAGGGCCCGGCTTGTCTTCTCCAAGCGCCTCTGAGAAGCCCGACCTGGGCACCTGGCAGCCAGTTCCCCGCCCCGACCACTGTCGGGAGCAAGAGGATGGGGTCGGGGGGTCTGTCCCCACAGGGTAAACTGGAGGGGCAGCAGCACTGTCCTCCCAATCCCACAGGAGAACCTTGTCCTGCGGGGGGAACAGCGGCTGTGGGCCACCGTCCCAGACAGCAGCGGTCCCGCTGCACAAGATCCCACTTAGGACAGATGCAGTTTTTCTTGCTGACGAGGTGATGGTCCTGGGGTCTGAAGGCTCACGGCGTCAGGTGACAGACAGGCCCTCCGCACACGGGCCCTGAGCGGCCAGGCTGCGGGGCTTCGTCCAGAATTGAGTCAGGGCCAGGACGCTGGCTAAAGAACAACTTCGGAGCCTCTGAAATACAGATAAAGGGCTGCACTCCCGCCCGGGATTGACCTGGAACCCTGCCCCACGCCCGAGGAGCGGTGCGCTCTCAGCCCCCCTCGCGCTTCTCCTGCTGGGGACGGGCGAGCCTCCCCCTTTCCTGTGCACGTACACCGAGGCTCTGATCACGGCTGCCTGCATGTTCATTCACTCGTTCATTCATTCATCCACGTCTGCACCGCCTGGACCATCTTCCCCTGAACGCCGTTATCCGCGGGGCTGTGATCTCCGCGTCCCCCGGCCTCGCTCACAGGAGATGCTCACTAAACACAGCACTGGTGGTCTGGGAGAATCTGCAGGACACATCACCTCCTTCTCCCCATCCCTTTGTGGCCCCCAAGGTCTCGTAACCTTTCTTGTTTCTGTTTCTTCATCTGTAAAATGTAAGAACAGGATTCCCCTGAGGAACAGTGGGCGGAGGCCTGGCACAGAGGGGCCCCTGGTAACCGTCAAGGGCCGCACTGCTGTGAATACAACCAGAGATCCCTAGACGTCCGTCCAGACTTTGTCTCCAGGTTTTGTGCCCTCTGCACAGTGACAGCACTGGCCACACAATTTGCGGGGCCTGATGCAACATAAGAATGCAGGGCCCTCATTCACCAATTATCAAGAATTTCCAGATGTGACAGCAAAGCAAAAAGCAAGCTCGGGGCCCTTCTGAGCGGGGCCACATCTGCAAGGCAGTGATCTGCACCTGGTAAGAGGTGCTCAGATTTCTATCACCTCAGCACCAACACCGACGTCCCCCACCCCATGCGCGCGCGCGCGCGCACACACACACACACACACACACACACACACAGGCTTTGCCTACGTGTAACTGTCGCTCCACGTGAGCCACACTTATGGAGGCGTGGCTGCAGCCCTCACTGTGCCGTGGCAGGAAAAGGGCTGAGGCTCCACGTTCGGTCGTCTGCACATCTGCCGCTGCTGACCCCAGGCCCCAGGCCTGTGCTGGGACCACGGGGCGGGCAAGAGCCCAGAGGTGATGTGGCTCAGGAAGCCCTGTGCAGCTGCCACCCCTCTACTGTTCATCTCCCAACTTGCAAGCACATCCTCGTGGTCTCCTGGAAGCCCCGGGCATTTTGATGGGTCCCCAGCCGCACATGGGAAAGGCTAGAAGGGATCTAGGAGAGAGACCTGGCATGTGTGTGCGTGTGTCTGCACGTG